CTCCCCCCCCCCCCCCCAAAGCTGCCACTGGGGAACTGATCCCTGTAATGTCTGGAGATCAGTTGTGATTCTAGGAGATCTCCAGGCCCTATTGGAGGCTGGCAACCTTAATAGTAGATTGACTAGGCAGTGAATTCCAAAAGCGGGAGGCCACCACAAAAAAGGCCTTACTTTGTGTTCTAAGCAATATTGCATCTGAGAAAGAGGGAGCCACAGAGCTAGGCCTCAGGTTTTTTTAATTTACGTACTTTCTTTATATCTCTCACTCCAAAGGGGACCCAACACGACTTACATCATTCTCCTCTCTTCCATTTCATCTTCACAACAACCCTGTCTGGTAGGTTAGGCTCAGAGTGTGTGACTGGCCCAAGGTCACCCAGCGAGCTTCCGTGGCACAAGCGGGGATCGGAAGCTGGATTTCCCAGACCCTAGTCCGACACTTTGACCGCTACACCACGCTGGCTCTCATATGATGATGAAGTGGAATATATGGGAAGAGGTGTTCCATAAAACAGGACCCTCTTCACACTTTGCAAGAGACTCGGTTGACCGAATGCCAACAAAACCCCTGCCCAGTCTGTTATAAAGAAGCCAGCCTAGTAACTCTTCTTGGTGACTTTCTAGTGGTTTTTGTTTTTATTCTTAATACAGAAAGCATCTATATGCACGAAGGAGCGTTGAACCTTGAAGGTGGAAAGGGTGCTGCCCTGACACAGCCGTGGGAACTAGGTCCCAGATGGGCTTGGTCTTCAAATGTCAAGAGAGATCATTCCTCCGGCTTCAAAAGAATGCAGATGTAGCCACCTTTTGAGTTCCAGAAGAGTTTAACCACAAATACTGAGAAGCCACTGCCTACCAGAGGGCTAAAATATTTCCAGTGTAGCCACTAGGGATGAGCACGAACTACATTTTTGTGTTTCAGTTTGTGGTTTGTGGCTGAGCCATGAACCGAACCATGAACCGATATGCCCGTTCGTTAACCCAACCGGTACATATTGGTTCATGAGCCGTTTAAAGTTTAAACCCCTGCTTTCTGCTCCCCATGGCTTTTTGCGGGGAGCAGAAAGCAGTGCTTTAAATGGCTCCTGGCTCAGCTGCTTTTTGTGAAGAGCAGAAGGCAGGGGTTTAACCCCAGCCTTCTGCTCTTCAAGAACCGCCACAACCTGCATCAAAATTTGTTAAACTTCGTGCCCATTCTTCAGTTTGTGAACACTGCTTCACGAACCACAAACCAGCCAAAATTCATTATGAACTTTAGTTTGCCAGCTGGGTCATGCCCATCCCTACTAGCCACCTTCCCACAATACCGGGCAACTTGTTGGGCAAGCCTGCCGTGCAGAAGTCAACCCAGCTCAGAGGAAGAAGATAGTTTAGGATTGGCAGCCATTCGGGTTACCAGCTCTGGGTGGGGAAATACCTGGAGATTTTAGGGGTGGAGCCTGGGGAAGGCGGGGTTTGGGAAGGGGAGGGGCCTCAGCAGCATACAATGCCGTCAAGTCCACCCTCCAAACTATTAGAAGTGGAAGACTTTGCACTGTCTCCTGTCTCAGACTTGAGAACATGGCACCAAAGAGTTTAGACAGACAGAGACGTCAGGACACACAGAGGATCCTTTCCTTCCTGCTCTCTTATCCTTTCCTTTGAAGTAGAATACTACTCTTAGGGGCAGTTTCCTCTGCTTCCGCTCTCACACTCTCTTCTTCTCTCTCGCAGGCATACAAAAGAAGGTGCCTGATCTCTCCGTCTTGCACCAGGGAGGCTGGACATCCAACACCATCTAGCTAGTTAGAATAGGTAACCTACATCTATCTCTTACCTGCACTCTCAAGCAGGTATTTCCTTTAATAGGTAAAGGTTCTCTTGCTCGAAAGCCAGTCGAATCCAACTCTAGGGTTGCAGTGCTCATCTCCGTTTCAAAGCCGAAGAGCCAGCGCTGTCCAAAGACGTTTCCGTGGTCATGTGGCCGGCATGACTAAACACCAAGGTGCACGGAACGCTGTTCCCTTCCCACCGAAGTGGTACCTATTTATCTACTTGCAATTTCTTCCTTCCGAACTGCTAGGTTGGCAGGAGCTGGAACTAGAGACGGGAGCTCACTCCGTCATGCGGCACACTCTGGTCTCGAACTGCTGAACTACCGACCTTCCGCAGCCTGCAGTTCAGCGTCTTAACCGCTTGAGCCACCGCAGCTCCTATTTCCTTTAGTAAAAGTTACTTATTAGTTTGAGAACTGACTGCTGACTCCGTGCGACTCTGTCAGTCTGTTGCCGCACCTAGCCCCACCCCACCCCAAGCTTCGCTGCGTTAAGGCCTTTGAGCACTCTGCGATTCTTCCGTCGTTCCCTGGCAGTACCACGTCCGGAGGAGTCAACACATAGCAGCCATGTTCTCCCGGAGAACTGACCTCTGTCGTATGCAGATCAACTGTAATAGCGGGAGATATCCGGGCCCCACCTGGAATTTGGCAACCTAAGTAGCTATTTCCCCGTATGTTCCCCCAAGAGCACTACGGTCTGGGGCCCAAAATCTGCTAACTGTGCCGGGCCCCAAAGATGCAAAACTGGTCGCTACAAGGGCCAGGGCCTTTTCGGTGGCGGCCCCTACCTGGTGGAATGAGCTCCCGGAGAAGATCCGGGCCCTGCGGGATTTGATGCAGTTCCGCAGGGCCTGCAAGACGGAGCTCTTCCACCAGGCTTTCAAGTAGGGCCCCCCCCCCGCTATATTGTCATCATAGGGGGGTGGAAAAGGCCCTAGGAAGGAACATCTGAACTTTTTAACATCTTAATATTGAAGCCACTGAATGCCTACCGGGAATGTCTGGATTTGGTCAGTCATCTTTCTGGGTTTTAGTAATTGAGGATCATTGAGCACTCTATTTGTATTGAGATTGGTTTTAAACTGTATAGTATGTTTTAAATGTGTAGGATGTTTTATTGTTGCAAGATTTCTTGCTCTGTAAGCCGCCCTGAGCCCTACGGGGGAGGGCGGGGTATAAGTTTGATTAATAAATAAATAAATAAATATGTTGGTCCACAGTAGAACAGCAAGAATCAAGTCCAGTCACCTCTTAAAGACCAAGAAGCTTTCCAGGGTATAAGGTTTCAAAACTCAAAGTTCCCTTCGTACGATCTGGCATACGATGACGGGAACGTTGACTCTCAAAAGCTTTGACCCTCGAAAGCTTACACCCTGGATATCTTGTTGGTCTTCAAGGTCCTACTGGAGAGGGAGAGGAGGTTCGTAACTGAGCAGGTGCAGCACGGGGGGCTTAAGAGATGGCTCTAAGACTGAGGAAGTCCTCAGTTCAAATCCTGCCTCTCTAATGAATTCACCCAGCCGCCCTAACCCCGCCGCTCCCTCTTAGGGACAAACCAGATGTTGACACAGGAAATGTGTGGGTGGATTCCAAATTTTCTTTTTAAATTAAAAAGCATCTACAGGAGCCTGCCAAGTCTGAAGAGAGGAATGAAGGGAGGGAAGGGGCTGGTTTACCCTTTCTCCTCCTGCTGAGTTTTCCCAGCTAAAACTCACCCTTCTCTAAGCGGCTTTCCCACCCAGGGGGAGAAAAACAAGATATCGGAGCACCTTTACTCCCATGGGTGGGAAAGCAGCTGGCGATTAAGAGCAGGGGGGGAGGAGATAAGGTTAAGGAGACCCTCCCCACTGCCTGTCTTCTGCTCCCGATCAGAGCCCAAAACAACACCAACAAAAAAGGCACAGTTAGGCAATCCATGCATTGTCTCCGTAAAGTCTAATTCGGGGCTCATCTTCAACTCTCCCAATTGCATGTGGGGGCGTAATTAATACTAACCTACTTTCCAGGACTGTTGTAAGGAGTATTGCAACAAAACCGTGTTTATTATTTTTAGAAGGCTATGAATGGTTCAAAGAGGCTCGCCCAATTTAACAACAATACCACCCGTGTTAAGCCACAACCCACATCACGCCGCAATAACGATAGGAAACAACGACGGCACCCCTATTAAACCACTGGATAACTGGACAAAACGGACAAAAATCAACAACAGCAAATCATTTTACCGAACAGGGAACAACACGCTTACATACGAGCAGGGACTGAAAGGATTAGCAAGGGCAAAACCCCAAATCTTTGCCTGACGTCTGAAAGCCAATAGTGAGAATCCAAGCTGGATCTCCCACTGATTGAATTCCAAAGAGAGGGCGCCGCTACCGATCCCTGACCACTGACCACCTCAGAAGGAAAAGGTACCCTGAGAAGATCTGAGCTGGCACATTCATGTGGGGCCAGGTGGTCTTTCGTATCTGTAACCCAGACAGCTTAAGGCTTTGAAGGTTAGCGTCGGCGCTTTGACAATGAACTCAACACAAAACCTTGCAATAAGATTTCAGTAAAACAAGTTCACTGCAGTGCATCTCTCTTACACTTGCTGCGGATTTGGATCAGTCCACATTACCGGGAGGTCTTCAAGGAGCAAATGTTGTGATAAATACAGTAGTACAGATGGACGGGAATCCAGGAAAAGTCCTACCTTAAAGTACAGACCATTGCGTTCTTCGGAAACTATGACCAGGGTGGAAGGGTAGAGAATCAACAGGCGGTCGTGCTGTTCCTGAGAGAGACACAAAAAAAAGACTGAGCTTTGCACAGGGTGACCGTCGCAGATACAATCCGCCTTAAACACTTAGCATTATTTTTGTGCAAGTGACAAGTGCGGAAGGCACCAGAAAGTTACACAATTCAACCCCTTGACCAAAACCGGAGTTGTGTACATTCTGTACCCGTCTGCAGCATAAAACTTCTTGAGAATCTTGTATGTATTTAAACTCTGTCTAGTCATAACTGACTTATGGCGACCCCAGCAAGCAGCTTTCAAGGCAAGTGAGAAGCAAAGGTGGCTGGCCATTGCCTTCCTCTGCAGAGTCTTCCTTGGTGGTCTCCCATCCAGGTACCAACCCTGCTTAGCTTCCGAGATCTGAAGAGACTGGGCTATACCACGCCACCTTCCCTCCACTGAGAATCTTCAGGGATTTAAAGTGTTTAAAAAAGGATTAAAAAAAAAAAGTTTCTAGCCCTTGTGGCTATACAGATAGTCTAATGAGTACATTTACCATGGCAAGCCTTCAGTAGGTAAAATATGATTTCTAACGGTTTGGTAAGGGACTTCCATGCCCTGCAGAACTCCTGGGCCATCTCTCAACATGCAACATTTTGCACATGCGCTTAATTTATACAAGTCACTGAAATCCATCACTGTCTTTTTTAAAAAGAGTACACACAGCTCTGCCTAAATGACTGGGTCATTGGTCCCCCCAGAGCTCCATTTCCACCATCCAAGAGGGTGAGTGTCTTGCAAGCGGACAAGATGGATCAAGTAAGTGAGCCAAACCACAGAGTATCTGTCAGATACAGGGCAAAACCTGCTACCCCAAAGGTTTAACAGCTACTCAAAATCAAATGCTGTTTTGCTTTCTGAAGGTCATACCTGAAAGGGCAGATGCTGCAGCTTCACTTTAGAGACGCAGAGGACGTCGCCCAGGGACTCCCGCTGGGTGCCTCTCCATTCCCGCACGGGGGCATTCTGCACAGACCACCGCAGCTGCTCCCTCCCAATAGAGCTCTGTTTCCAGTCATTCTAAAAGGAAGACACAAATGAACAATGATGCAGAAGACACAGGCATCCAGACACCTACCTGCCATGGGCAAGTGCCCCAGGGTCTCTTTATAAGCCATGATGATCAAGCTTCCATGCTCAGAGGCAATGTGTCTCTAAATATCATAAGAACATAAGAGAAGCCATGTTGGATCAGGCCAATGGGCCACCCAGTCCTACACTCTGTGTCCCACAAGGGCCAAAACCCAGGAGCCATCAGGAGGACCACCAGTGGGGCCAGAACTCCAGAAGCCCTCCCACTGTTGCCCCCAATCACCAAGAATGCAGAGCATCACTGCCCCAGACATAAGAACATAAGAGAAGCCATACTGGATCAGGCCAATGGCCCATCCAGTCCAACACTCTTGGTCACACAGTGGCCAAAACCCAGGTGCCATCAGGAGGTCCACCAGTGGGGCCAGAACTCCAGAAGCCCTCCTGCTATTGCCCCCCAAGCACCAAGAATACACAGCATCACTGCCCCAGACAGTGGGGGTTTTTTATTATTATTTTTTCGATTTATCGCCTTCCATCTATACCTTGAAGCTGTCTAGGTTTGTAGCCGCCACCAGTTCCTGCGGCAGTGAATTCCACATGTTAATTACTCTTTGGTGAAGAAGTACTTCCTTCCTTCCACAAGTCCTTGCATTGTGCGAAAGGGAGAAAAGTACTTCCCTTCTTTACTGATTTTAGTGAGTTTAATTCATGCTGTACTGACAAATATAATTGTAAATCTGTATTATTGCAGATCTGTATGTCTGGAACCCACCCTGAGCCTGCTAAACAGGGAGGGGCAGGATACAAATCCAATAAAATAAATCAATATCATAAATAAGTAAAATAGAAGAGAGGATAGACATATATACCACCCTGAACTCCTGGGAGGAAGCATGGAGGAGAGAGAGAACAGAGAAGCTGTTGTTTTATCAGTCCTCAATTGAAACAAGCCAAGCTTTGGCAGAGCAAGACATCTGGATCAAAACAAGGGCTGCTGCTCTTATAAACAGAGACGGGATTCCCATCGAGTGGAATTGCTGGTGGCTGGAATTTCTAAGCCACCTAATACAGGCCGGCAAACCGGTCGCACAAGATTCTCTGTCATCTCTGATTCACAAGGTGCTTCACAATGATGTACTGTAAATTTGAGCATTTAATGCCTCCGATTTTAAACCCTGAGCCATTTGAATACCTTTTTTTCTGGCAAAAGAAATGAAAATGTAAAAATACTATGCACAAACACATCTATTTTGTCAACCCAGAACACCTTCGCTTTATATGGCAGCAGGAGCCGGCACTGAGTTGTTTAGGAGCCAGACGGGAAACTGTGAGTGGGCAAGAAACTCCCTCCAGCAATCTCTGCCTCATCCCAGACACTTTCCGCTTCCCTGGCCCAGGCGGAATTACCCGTGCGTGGGAACTGAGCGAAAACTGAGCATCCCTTCACGATGCAAGAGAAGAGCTTTCCGGCACAGGAGTTTCTAGGGACTGCTGACGGACGGGGCCGAAACGAAAACACTAGAGCCTACTGCTTTCGAAGGGGAGGAGAACACCTTCACAGGTGTGCATTCCGGGACGGCTTCCAATTCGTACTTGCTAACTCATTGTTTCCCACACTGGTGAAACCTTTGTTTTAGGGGAGGAAGCTAAGCCCTCACACCCAGAATAGGAACAGGGCAGGAGAATGGGAGGGAGGGCGTGTCACGTGGGTGTGAAAAGGGGTGCCTTTTACTCTGTAGGTTGTTCTAGGGCCAGACCACACACATGATGATGATATCCTTTGATATGAACACCAGACGTGTTATTTGGCAGCCTCAAAGGGAGGGAGGGGAGGGGGGAGGGGGGATCTAGCGCAAGGCTAGAGAGGGTGGTTAAGTCTTCCCCTCCACCCCACAACCAGAATGGGCCCCTGAAGTCCCAACAGGGGGGGAAAGAGGCATAATAGACATGCCTGTCTTTCCCCCCCTTACCATGGCTTAAAGCAGCTGGAGGGGGGGGAGTGGTGATCGTGGAAATCGTGTGTGTGTGTGTGTGTGGGGGAGAATAGAGGATTGCCCTACACCCCAGCCCCAACTGCTTCCCCTTCACTTGCTGAATTACATGTCTGTAGTTCCCTTCTTAGGGCCGCAGTGGCTCAGAGGTTAAGATGGTGAGCTGCAGACCAGAAGGTCTGTAGTTTGGCAGCTCGAGACCCGAGTGCCACGTGATGGAGTGAGCTCCTGTCCCTGGCCCCAGCTCCTGCCAGCCCAGCAGTTTGAAAGCAAGAAATTGCAAGTAGATAAAGGGGTACTGCTTTGGAAGGAAGGTAACAGTGTTCCGTGCGCCTCAGCATTTAATCATGCCGGCCACATGCCCACAGAGAAGTCTTCGGACAGCGCTGGCTCTTTGGCTTGGAAGCGGAGATGAGCACCGCCCCCTAGAGTTGGATTCAACTGGCTTTCGAGTCGGATTCAACTGGCCTTTACCTTTACTTCCCTTCTTGGAACGTTTACTTCACGTCTCTTTTGGTCTTCCTTCGGATAGGAGCATTTACTATTTTGCTTAAAACTCTTGGAATGTTACAGTAACGAGGCTGTCTGTATTCCACAACTACAGCCGAGCGTGGATTTTGTCAGGGTATTTCCCAATTCTGCCCCAATAGAAATTCTTCCTGGAATACACCATTCCAAACAGAGTTGTCCGTGTTGTGAGATGGAACTCCATGTGCATTCCATGTGGAGAGCCAGTTTGGTGTAGTGGTTGAGTGCGCGGACTCTAATCTGGGAGAACCGGGTTTGATTCCCCACTCCTCCACTTGCACCTGCTGATGTGACCTTGGGTCAGTCACAAGCTCTGGCACAGCTGTCCTTGAAAAAGAGCAGTTTGTGTCAGAGTTCTCTCAGCCCCACCCACCTCTACAGGGTGTCTGTTGTGGGGAGGGGAAGGGAAAGGAGTTTGTAAGCTGCTCTGAGACTCCAAGTGAAGGACGGGGTATAAATCCAATCTCTTCTCCTCTTCTTCTTCTTCTGCATTCATTGCACTCATTTTCTGCCAGTTGGGACTAGATTTGGGAAGGGGTGAGTGTATAAGAGCTGGATATGTAATATCTTTATGGAAGTATCCATCGCAACATGCATCTGGGTAGTGGAAAGAGCCGTCAAGTCGTAGCTGACTTATGGCAACCCTGTAGGTTTTTCAAGATAAGAGACGTTCAGAGGTGGTTTGCCATTGCCTGCCTCTACATAGCAACCTGGGACTTCCTTAGTGGTCTCCTACCCAAATACTAAGCCGGGTTGACCCTGCTTAGCTTCCGAAATCTGATAAAATTGGGCTAGCCTAGACTATCCACGTCAGGGCAACATGTATCTACTATATATCAAAGTCATATCCAAATATACACCATGAGCACATCTGCACACAGAAAATGGCAGCAGGAGGATATGGAACGGAACACAAGGCTGGTCCCTTAGGTAGTATGGTCAGGGACCAGCCTACCTAAGGGACCGCCTTTCCCCACATGTTCCCCCAAGGGCACTACGGTAGGGGAATCAAAAGCTACTGGACGTTCCAGGCCCCCGGTCCATCAAACTTGTCATGACCAGGAATAGGGCGTTTTCGGTGGCGGCTCCTATCTGGTGGAATGAGCTCCCAGAGGAGATCAGGGCTCTGCGGGACCTAGCACAGTTCCGCAGAGCCTGCAAGATGGAGCTCTTCCGCCAGGCTTTTGAATAGGAGCCGCCACTACCAGTGTACCACCAACGCACCAGTGTACCACCAACGCACCAGTGTACCACCAACGCACCAGTGTACCACCAACGCCCCATAATTTCTGTATATGGACATCATGATGCGGGCATCATGGGTGAGAATGGGACGTTTAGGGGACGGCCATCTTGCTTTTAGAAATCGTAACTTCGGAATTAGTTTAGAGGAGCACCAAAATTGTTTATTAACTGTGATGTACTTTTAATATTTTGTATTGTTTTATTGTTTTATTTGGCGATATGCCTTGTTAGCCGCCCTGAGCCTTCGGGGAGGGTGGGATAGAAATGTAAATAATAAATAAATAAATAAAAGACACGGTAACAGCACGGAACAAGTCTGGAGCAAATTACACTCCGCCAAACTTAAGATTTCTTTCGTGTGTATAGAACTCAGCCTCTCGAGAACCTCAATTTGCATTTTTAACAATGCCCCAGTCTCCCAGCGTTCAGGGTTGTTACAACAGCAGTGCGAACGTGTGGTCAGTGCTAGGGGAAGGGAAGGATTGGAACAGACTCATAACAAACAGCAGTCTTGAGCCACCGGCCCCTATTGTGCAACTCGGTTCATCTAGGTCAGCTCCAAAACCAGCCACTCACCTGAGCCAGGAAGGGCAAGTCGAGGCTGCCTCCGTTTAAGTGGATCTGTTTCTCTAAGTGGTAAAGCCAGGGGTTCAGCTCCGACCTGTCCGCGGGCAGTAGACTATCAGGGGGTTCAGCAACGGACCTGTAAGAAGAGACCAGAGGAAATGTTGGAAATGCCGTCGTTCTGATCTGGATGGCCCAGGCTAGGCCAATCTCATCGGATCTCAGAAGACAAGCAGGGTCGACCCCAGTTAGTAAGAAAGGAGCCTTACGAAGGGCCAATATTAAAAACCTACCGCATACTTATTATATACAAAAATACGTGTGTTCATTAGAAAGACAGTTAAGCCTTATTACAAAGTGCAACTGACCTGAACACAAGGGTCAAATACAAGTGACTTGATGTATTTCTGCCCCTTGGGGGCCTTCATAGAATCACAGAGTTGGAAGGGACCTCCAGGGTCATCTAGTCCAGCCCCCTGCACAATGCAGGAAATGCATAAATAACTTCCCCTCACACCCCCAGTGACCCCTGTTCCATGCCAGGAAGATGACAAAGAACCTTCAGGATCCCTGCCCAAACTAGCCCGGAGAAAAATTGCTTCCTTGTATTTGACCCCAAAGTGGCGATCAGCATTTCCCTGGGGGTGTAAGAAAGGGCCACAAGAAATAAGCACTGATGCCACCCTTCCTGCCCTTCCTCTCACGATCTGCCCAAGTTCACAGGATCCGCATTGCTGACAGATGGCCATCTAGCCTCTGTTTGAAAACCTCCAATGAAGGAGAGCTGACCACCTCCCAAGGAAGCCTGTTCCACTGAGGAGCCGCTCTTCGGAGGTCAAACAATTTGAGGTATAGATCGACTCATGTTCCAGTGTTACATGTTACAGTGAAATAACAAAGAACCAAAAAAGGAAAGCTGTAGAAAAAAGAATATTGAATATGAATAATCATATAAAATAGTAAATTTTACTTGCAACGTGGTAAAGATGACTATATTACTTACTTTAGCAGCAAGGTTAATACACATAAGACAAGGGTTTTTATGAGGCTTCTTAAGATGTGTCTTAAGATGCAGAAACACGTCAGGGCACTTGTATTTGGCCCTTGTGTTCAGGTCACTTGCACTTTGCAATGTGGCTTTCATTGGGCCCTTATATGTTTTGAACTCTCTTCCTTATAAACAGGGGTCATTTCCTGCAGGAGCGCACAGGAGCGGAGCTCCATCAGTAAAGAGCCCAGGGGGCGGGCACATGCAACACCTGCTCCCAGCAGTCCTCAGTCAGAGCAAGAAGCAGCCCGGTATTTTCAGACACCCCCCCCCCCCCCAAACAGTCCACTGGCACCTTTAAGACCAAGTTTTATTCAGGTACAAGCTCTCCTTCTTCTGTGAGGACAGATCTGCGCACCCCCCCCCCCAATAGCTAGCAATCCAAAAGTCCAGTGGAGCCTGAGCGGTGGGTGTTGCCTTCTGACACACTTCCGGTGAGGCCAGGGGGTGTGGCATATGCAAATAAGTTATGCTAATGAGTTATACTAATGAGCTCCTGCACCTCTTTTTCTATGAAATGACCCCTGCTAATAAATACATGTATTTTTGTATATGATAAGTATACACTAATTTTTTAATATTGGTCCTTCGTCAGATTTCTTTCTTACCTTTGTGGTTCTTGATTCCAAGCATTGGATCAAGTTTTTTTTTTCCTTCCCTGTGTCTTACTATCGATTCCAGTTAGTACCTGGATAGGAGACCAGCAAGGAAGCCCAGGGTTGCCCTACAGAGGCAGGCAATGGTAAACTCCCTCTGAACATCTCTTGGGTTGAAAACACTATAGGATTGACATAAATCGGCTACAGCTTGACAAGACTTTCCACCATTAAGGTGCTGGAAGGGCGTAGTATAGGGGGTAGAATCCTGCCCAAACCTGGACTCAAATCCCTGCTCAGCCAAGGAACTCGCTGGGTTACTGGGTGCCAGATGTTCTCCCTTGGTTGCACCCACCTCCCTGGGATGTTGTGAGGATAAATGGAGAGAGAAGAAAACTAGCTATGCAGATTTGGAGTCATGGTGGCATTAAAATGTCTTCGGCAAAACTTTTCCCAGGCCTTTTAACCGAGACCCATGTTTTCACCAGGGCACTGAAATCGAGGCTGAATAGTTACGGATACTTCCACAGATGCTGAATAAATGCACTTTCAATCCACTTTCAGTGCACTTTGCAACTGGATTCTAGTGTGTGAAATGGGAAAATCCATTTGCAAATTATCACGGAACTGCACTGCAAGTGCACTTTGCAACTGGATTCTAGCGTGTAAAATGGGAAGATCCACTCACAAACGATCCCGAAAGTGCACTGAAAGAGCAATATTCCAGCATGTGTGAAAGCACCTTAAGCATGGACAGTGGTCCTTCGCCCCCTCTGCAGCTCTTACGCATGAGAAGCAGCTCCAACCACCTGCCAGTTCCCATATTTCCAGCCACCCGCCCCTCACGCCCCTGACCAGTCATGACAATAAACACTGCAGCCAAGTGAACCGCCTGCTTCCAGAAGGCAGGATATGACTGACACGACCAATCGATTGGTGATTAACTGCCTCTTATTAAAATGAATGCCAGGTGCGATTTGAAACGAGCTTGACGGAGGCGCTTGGAGGACTGAGATAAGCCGGCACTCTGCAAGCCGTCAAAATAAATCATTATCAGCAGAACAATAACTTTGGCCTTCCTCTGAGTTTTTTCGCTGCCTCATGTTTAATGTAACGCTGATGAATTGAACTTCTCCGGGGTCCTGTGAGCCGGGAAAAACACGACGATGTCCGTTGTACCAAATGAACATTGGAAGCAGGCTTGTCAACTCTGAGTCGGGAAATCCCTGGAGATTTTGAGGGTGGAGCTTGGGGCTGGTAAAGTTTGGGGAAGGGATGGACCTTATAGAAGGAGAGAAGAGATTGGATTTATACCCCGCCCTTCACTACCTGAGGGAATCTCAAGAGTGGCTCACAATTCCCTTCCCTTTCTCTCCCCACAACAGACACCCTGTGAGGTAGGTGGAGCTGAGAGAGCTCTCTCGAAGACTGCCCTTGAGAGAACAGCTCTGAAAGTTCTTGCGACTGACCCAAGGTCACCCAGCAGCTGTGAATGGAGGAGTGGGGAATCAAACCCTGTTCTCCCAGATTAGAGTCCACTCTTAACCACTACACCAAACTTGCTCTTACACATTTATAATGCTATAGAATCCACCCTCCAAAGCAGCCAGGGGAACTGTGGTCTGCAGATCATTTGTAATTCCGGGGTATCTCCAGGCCCAAGCTGGAAGCTGGCAACTCTGATTGGAATCTGTCTTAGACCAAATCGGAGAGCCGTGCCTTCCTTCCCATCATGCCGTCTGCCTCGGCAGCGCAAAGGTCTTTCCTAACACCTGCTACCAAAGAACCTTTCCCCCCACTTTGGGTTATAAAGATACACGCGACAAACACAATTGTCCCACGATTGGTTATCAGTTCGAAACAAACTTCAGCTAGCATTCATGCGCAAACAATGACTTCAGTGTGGGCTTAGGAGGCATCTGTCCGTCTGTCCATCCGTCCCCCAGGACTCAGAAGGAGTGAAAGACAACTCTAGCAATGCATGCCAACAGCTTTTGAAGAGGGTTGTCTCCAGAAAGCAGAACCAAGGATAGGACGTTTTGGAGGTCATTAATTCATAGGGATGCCATGAGTTGGAAATGACTTAATGGCACTTAACACATACACAACTAGATCTCCCAGAATTACAGCTCATCTCCAGACTTGAGAGCCAGTTTGGTGTAGTGGTTAAGTGCTCTAATCTGGGAGAACCGGGTTTGATTCCCCACTCCTCCACTTGCAGCTGCTGGAGGACCTTGGGCAAGCCATAGTTCTGTCGGAGCTGTTCTCTCAAGGACAGCTCTCAAAAGAGCTCTCTCAGCCCCGCCAACCTCACAGGGTGTCTGTTGTGGGGAGTCGAAGGGGAAAGGAGATCGGAATCCTCTCTGAGACTCCGAGTGAAGGGCAGGGTATAAATCCAACTCTTCTTCTTCTACAGAGATCAGTTTCCCCTGGAGCAAATGGATGCTTCGGAGGGCAGAGTTTATGGCATCGTACCCCACTGTGGTCCCTGTCCTCTCCAGGCTCCACCCCCAAATCTCCAGGAGTTTCCCAACCTGGAGCTGGCAACTCTATGTCCCCATCCCCCGATGGTGGCCAGGGAGGACCTGGCAAACCTAAACGAGGGATAAACCCTGAATGTGGACAATGACAAAATGAGGTTATTTCCACAACAACGATGTCAGGTGGAAGCCCCCCACCCACCCATGCCTACAGTTTGGGAGGGAATATGGAAGCAACTGGAGACTCCGTTTCCATGCGAATTAAAGGCACCAGAGAGAGGATAACCAGCAGGCATGTCAAGGCACAACAGGGAATCCCTGTCAGGGCTTTGGGAGTGGCTGAGGCCGAGAGAATCTGCTGCACGCTACCAGTTTTTGAGTCACAGGGCTGCGACGGCACGACCTGCATTCTGCATTTCTGAAATGCCCTAGTTTGTGATGGGGGCAGAGAAGCCTGAACAGATCTTGAGGTTTTGCAGATGCCAGTATAACAAGCGGCTTTGTGGGCTTGTCGGAGGGCACGAACTTTTCCCCTCTGCAATCTAAGATCACCACACACCCCGGGCCAATTCCAAAAGAAAAGTAAAAGCGGGGTCTGGGAGGGGGAGAGAGAGACGACTGGTTTCAGGAGCAAAGAAGCTCAGATTAAATTCCAGACAAGACAGACATGTTTTCCTCTTCATCAGCCCCTGGGGCAGACTGGAAGTTGACTTGCTGGCATTACAGGGCTCGATCCGAAGGTTGGGGGTTCTTTATGGCATATCCCGGGAAAGGACGGGACCAGAGCCGGCCTTCCTTACCGGGTGGCACAGCTATATTTGTACAGTTCGGTGTGGTGTAGTGCTTGGAGTATTGGATTTAGGGCCGCCAATCTCCAGGCGGGGTCTGGAGATCTCCCGGAATTACAACTGGTCTCTAGAAGACAGGGATCAGTTCCCCAGGAGAAAATGGTGGCTTCGGAGGGTGAACTCTATGGCAGCTTGGTGTAGTGGTTAAGAGCGCGGACTCTAATCTG